CTCCCCGGCACCTCACCTCTCCCCGGCACCGCACTTCTCCCCGGCACTTCACCTCTCCCCGGCACCGCACTTCTCCCTGGCACCGCACTTCTCCCCGGCTCCGCACTTCTCCCCGGCTCCGCACTTCTCCCCGGCACAGGGGCACGGCTGCTGGGGGCACCCACACCACCCACACCCCGCCGGCAGAGCTGCTGAGCCGTCTTCACCCTCCTTCTCTTAGCTCCCCACCGCGGCAATCAGAAATTAACGGGTTAACCTTTACAGAAGAGTGCGGAAAGGTGTAAGAGCACATGTAATCGTAACAACACTGGCCCGCCGAAGAGCCAGTTGTCAGAGGAGTGCTCAAATAACTGCAGCCGTATTTGTTCTAACCCAGAGCCAATGAGTGTGTGTGCTAGAGCAGGCACAAAGTATTGCATGTTGGCTGTATGCACAAAAGAACTGATGAAAAAGTTTTGAAACTGGGCATAGGAACACCATATGAGAAACGAACCCAATAATGGTATGGAAACCATGGTTTAAACAAAATTGCTTAATATTCAATTGGAACTAACTGTCTTACAGAAGTTTCAGTTACAGACAGGAAGACATACTCTTCTTCAATAACTCCCCAACAGCAGGAAATCTGTCAGTATGCAAATAATTTTAGAAAAATAATCCAATATACAAAGTGCAAGCCTCACCTACCAAGCCTGGCTATTTTTCATTCTAGTGTAGATCTGAATAGAAGTAGAAGGCAAGAATGCTCCTCAACATTGAACTCAGAGCTGAGTGTGTGTCAGCCCAGGTATCCTGTCTTGCAAGCTGTGTATCTGAAACATCAAGTTCTGAAACTGCTGGCATGGACACATCTAGATCAGCTACATGCAAACATTACACCAAGGCAGAGAAATGTTTCTTCAGTGGGCTTGCTATGGACATCTATAACATCTCCCTTGACTTGTTTCACATCTGTAACATCTCCCTTGACTTGTTTCACATCTGTAACATCTCCCTTGACTTGTTTCACATCTGTAACATCTCCCTTGATTTGTTTCACATCTATAACATCTCCCTTGATTTGTTTCACATCTATAACATCTCCCTTGATTTGTTTCACATCTATAACATCTTCCTTGATTTGTTTCACATCTATAACATCTCCCTTGTCTTGTTTCACATCTATAACATCTCCCTTAACTTGTTTCACATCAAATTAACCTTATTTTCAAAATGTCAGGCATGCAAAAATCAGGAAAACAAATTAACTAAAACTCCTTCTCAGATAAAACACCCAACATGGACTACTGCTAAACAGCTCAGTGCATTGCTGTACAGTATCCTGGGTACCAGACCTGTATCTTTTTATGTTTCTGAGCACATGCTCAGAAACTTCAAGTTCCCTCACAACTTTTAAACTTCTTTTGGCTATTGCATAAATACTTCACAATTTCGAATAAAGTTCACTTTCATCTGAAAAAACAGTAGCACAAGAAGTTTGAATTGAGATGAATTGGCAGAACCATTTAATGAAAATTTTGTAGTGCTTTCCACTTCAATAAACACATCAACCAATATTCAACAAAATCCCTTTCCATTAAATTGTAAACCCTGTCATTCAGATGCATACTTACTACAAATGCTGTCTCATCCAAAGGAATTCCCTGGCCAATAAAGTCAGGATTTCCAGCCTGTTTATCTATTGAAAGAGAATCAATGGTGGTCTATAATACAACACACATTACAGATCACTAGTTCTTGAACACAGTAAAACAAATTTGTATGATGTTACTTTCCTGCTAGCCTGAAGCCTGCCCAACAGCAATTCTTGAAAATCAGATGCTGGAAAACACATTTTTCTTAACAAGAACTTCTTTCTTAACATCTCTTCCAGTATTTAAGAGAGTATGTAGACAAGGTTTCTTCCCAAGAAATATGAAAACAACAAAATAAACTCAAGGGATACAATATTCAGGTAAAACTAATAAAATGCTCAAATTGCTATTCATTTAGCAAAAATATATACATTACCAATAGCATCTCATTCAGTAATCTCTATCTTATTCAGTAATCTTTATCTATGCACCTTCCCAGTACCTCTCAAAGCACATCAGAAAGCAGAATCCATCACTCACAAGTACCTCACCCTCAGGATGCTGCTCACAATCTCCCACTTCGAACTGCCACACTTCAAGAGTCTCTGACTGCCGTGGGGACCCGACTGACCACTTGGCTAAGTAAAACTCTGGTGGCCAATGGTAGGCTTAAGACTTGTTGGACTTGGCACCACCTGATAATTCTTAGAACTCAGAGCTGTCAGACCAATCTTAAATGGAAATAAAAGGTTTTCTAAATGATGGCAAAGTACCCATCAAACAAGCACACCTGCAGTTCTGAAGGGCAGAACAACCGTAGGAAAGCTTTTTCTGAACAGTACCAAAGCTCTAAATTTGGCCCACACTTTTGTTGTTATACAATGTGGTGGAAAATGTTGAGGTTAACAGCTTTTCAAGTATAACACTCCGGTGCCACTAAGCTAAGAATAAAAGAATAATTATCAGCTGTGCAGCTTTGAGAGCCTCACAACACTGTTTCTGAATTCTCTGTTACCTCCAAGATAGCACATTGTAATTAGATCCAGGACTGATCTACTGATGGGTTTTTTTGTTTAAGACACATGATCAAGTTTCCACACCCCAATGATGAAGTCCTAAAACAGATTAACTTCTGTAAATGACAGGCATCTTGAAATGTCAAAGGTTCTTTTTATGTCTCATTAGGCCCTAATAGGAGGAAGAGAACATTTTAACACCAGGTGCTTTAAGAATTTGCATGTTATTTTG